ACCGTGATGCAGCAGCTGCTGCTGCCCTGTGTGCAGAGAGAAGTATGAGCCTTGTGCCCTAAAAGCCTGGCACTCACCTATCTCCCTCATACACAATGGGTGGCCACATTTTCCTCACCATATTTTAACTGGGGCAGTTACCACAATATAAAATGCCAGGGAATATCCGTGGCAGGCCTGCCTGTACACACAAAACGAAGAGCAGCACCTTTGTCATCTCTGCAACACAAATATGCCCTCTTTAGCTTTTTCTCCTCAAGCCAAGGTTCTTCTATCCAGCACCAGCACAATCTTCAGGATAACAGTAATGTCTGAGCAGCCACAAAAACCCGTGATCACCACAGCAGAGCAGATTCCAGCAGCGGTGGGGAAGGACAATGGCAGTAGAGTGTCCCCTCCTCCTTCATCCTCTGGAGGATTTCCATGTCACTGCCACCAAAGCGGGACAACACGGCAGGTGAGCAGCAACAGTGGCAGAACATACGACAGAGATCACGGCCAGCAAATGTCACATTCCCTTCCCTGATCACTGACATCAGCAGAACCTGGCACACAACAGCCCTGTGCAGCCTTTACCTTCAGCTAAAGCACATCCTTCCCACTCCTCCATCCTGGAAATGCTTGCAGCATCTCACACAGGGAGCTGGGAGTAGAAACATAACATTCCAGCTCCTTGCTTTCTAGTATAGCATTTATTCTGTTAAATAGAGTACGTGCTCTTGCAGCACATTAATATTTCAGACACAGGGTTGCCTTTCTGAGCACACACATCTCGATCCTTAAGGCACCAATGTGCCAATAGTAAACAATGTTTATTATTCCTTCAGACAAGCCATCGCTTCACATGTTTCCAGCCAAGGACAGCCCAACTGGAAGCAGATTAACCCCAGCACCACTCCAGCCCGTGCAGACAAGGAGCACTGATGAGGCTGTCGATACCGCTCCGGAGACAGAGTGAGAAATTCCACAGCACACAGCTCCCGAGAGGAGCCAAAGGGCATGGCACTTGATTTGTTCTCCCCAGTTTCTTCTGCATTTGAATTTTAATACAGTTTGCCTCTGCCCTCCCCTGCTGCTCCACCACAAGCATTCCAGCAGCATCCCCACATCCCATAAGGTGAGCTGACACTTGCACGGGCCCCTCCTGGGCTGCTCTTCCTTCAGACCTGGCATCTTCCTTCATTTTAAATGGAAAAATAAAGCACTCTCTGAACACCTGAAGCAATAAAGATTATGGAGGAAATGGAGAAGAGCATTACAGCAGCTTGAGGAGCAAATGTGGTGATGAATGTGCAGCTCAGGGTGAAATCTGAGAGCAACTTTGTATATGAGGTAATTTTCCTGCAGGATTTTCAAGGGGAAACACGAAAATAAATGGTAATTTTCCTGCAGGATTTTCAAGGGGAAACATGAAAATAAATGGTAACATCTTCCTAATGGCAGTGAACACTTCTACATAGAGATGAGGACTCAGAGCTAAGAAATCTTAGCTCTCCTTGTTTTAGCTTTTTCATTTACAGAGCAGCTCACCAAAGTGATTAATACAACCTCTCTCAAAGACAGAGCTGGAAGGAAGTGTTAAATTACAGGTAATCCAGAGGGAATCCAGCTCCAAAGAGGCTTCCGGCTCCAGAGGAAGGAAAGATGCAGAGATACAGAAAAGAAAAAAACTCATTTCTGCAGCACAGACTTTCACTGGCATTGCAGCAAGCACAGCACATTGCCACCCCTTGGACCACAGTGGAACACAAGGTGTGAAATACCCTCAGGTGTGAAATACCCTCCCTAAACTGTGTCTGGCCACCTCCTGCCCCACACAGCAGCCATCACCTGCATCACATGGATTCTTCCCCAAACAGCCACCCTGTTCCCTTTTGTTCCTCCCAAGGAGGAAAGGGAGCCAGGGTAGCTCAGGGATGCTTGGCATGGCATGGCACAGCGAGTGCCACCCAGGGATTGTCTCAGGCATCTGTACTTGGCTGCTTTATTCCAGAAACAGAAGTGGGAAGAGACTTTTCTGGTACTTCAGGGGACAAATTAAGACAGCAATTTGCTTGAAGAATTAAAATATGCAAATGCACACTCTTTTGGGCATCGACCCCAGCCAGTAAGATTGACCTCATGCCCCACTCACAGCTGTGAGTGCTGCCCAGCAGCAGCCCCTGGAGATGCTCAGCCCTGAAGGCTTATCCTCATTTTGGAACTCAGTCACCACCCCAAGGCTCAGCTCTGTCCTGGGGTGAACCCTCGAGACGAGGGCAGGACCTGGCACTTTCAGCAGCATGGGAAGGAGAGCCAGGGTGCATCAGACACATCAGACAAAGCCAGAAACACAGTTGCATGAAGCACATGTAATAAAGGCAGTATTTGCTGTATGTCAAGCTGGAAGCACAAAGTGCTGCAAACACTCTGATCCTTTTGTCATTTTTCCACTACACTTGCCCTTGGAAATAATATCACTTAATACTGCGTGACTGACATAAAGTCTTTTTTTTTTTTTTCTGCCAAAATAGCACAGAAGAAAAGTTATTGGTTGGTGATTTGGAGAAGGAGATGAGACAGTGATTGGAACTGACTATTCCTGTTTGGCAAGATAAAAACGTCCCCCTTTCATAGGCTGCTTCCCTCTATTTTCTTACAGAGAAATGTCTTATTTTGCATGCACAGAGAGCCAAGATTCCAGTCCCTGGCACAAGGGCTGCAGAGCTCACTTGACTGCGCTAGTGAGGCAGTGGATCAATTCCCTTTCTCTCCAGGCTGGCTCAGGAAGGATAAGGGTGCTGCTGACCAAAACAAACCCAGACAGAGCCCTGGCACCCAGCACCCCCGGCTGCACCACCACCAAGGGTCCTCAGCACCCACGGGTACCCAGGGTGACCACCCCAGGGCTCCTGGAAATGGATTTGCAGAAAATTCAGTCTTCTGAAGTTGATATTTCCCCTATGAAAATAATCAGTTTTTAACTACACAGCACTTTCTAAAAGTAAGAAGAAAAAAAAGGTGTGAAAATTGTGACCGGCTACTTTATAATTAGAAAGAAACAGTGAATTTTACACTCCTGCTATTAACTAATGGCCTGCAGCAAGGGCTGCCAGTCTCAGGCAGGATGGAGCCCCCAACTCCACCTCCCTGGAAAACCCCAGGGCAGGTTTTCAGCCTCTCACGTGCCTGTGGGCTCTGGGCACCAGGGTGCCAGAAGGTTACCAAGAGAATGAGCATCACACTCGGGACTGGTGACCAGAACAGACGTCCCAAAGGGACACTGAGAGCAGCAAAGTGACACAGCCACAGGGCAGAGGCACTCCCAGCCTCTGGGCCACCAGAGGTGATCCTAACTAGTCTTTACAGCTCACTCACTCCAAGCCTCTGCTCTGTGTTATGCAACCCACCAGCAAGGCTTGGGAATGACATTATTGTGCCAAACATCCACAGCGTCTGCTGGGATTTCACAGCGGATGACAAACGAGCACAACACCTCGCACTAAAATATACAAGAGAAAACAGTGTTGTTTTCCACATTTCAAAAACATCTGCTATGAATTAATGATTCAGCTCATACCTCCAATGACAGGCGCAGAGGAGATGAGATTGGCTGAGCACCCCGTGGCTCACCAGGCGCTGCTCCTGTTTCTGCAGCAATGCTCCTGCCTCCTGCAGGCAAAATTTGGCATCCACGGTGCCCAGTATCAAGATCTGGAAGATGTCCCTAAAACTGCAGCCTTCAACTTCTAAGAGCTGCCAGGGATCTCTGCTGCACACAGAGGGCAGCCAGAGGAGCAGTTACAGAGGAGCTCCTAAGAAATTCACCAAAACAGACATGTAAAGTGCCCTACAAGCAAACGTACATTCTTGTTCCCATTGTTAATTAATGCAGCACAGCATCCTCAGATCGTGTACATTAAGCTTCCTGCACATTCTCCACTGGCCAAACAATTATCTAACTCGTATATCAACTGCAAAACACTCGAGTCAAGCAAACGCTTGGGGTAACTTCATCTTCCAGGTCCCTGTGCACAAACTCTGTGTCTGTTGGAACTCTGCAGGCACCGGGAGTCTCCACGTAACCAAAACCAGAGGCAAAGCACACCTCCCCTGAGTGCAGAAGTCCCTCATCCCCTGGCTCATCACACAGAATCACAGAACTGTTTAGGTTGGAGAAGACCTCCAAGACCACCAAAATCAAGCCAAATTATTCCATATTATCCTGTATTATCTCTATATTACATATGATGGATATGCAGAGTGGTAGTTTATTCTCTATATACAATCTATGTTTTATAGATAATGCAGACATGCATCACTTCTGGAGTCCTCCAGGACAGGCTGGAGCATCTCACATGCTCCCAGGGGAGGATGGTCCCTCGTGCACAGCCACCACCCAGTGATCCTGCACCTCCTCTGCATTTGAACCTGACAATCTCTATTCTCCCAGCAGGTGAACACCAAAAGTCCCTCAACCCTGGCAGGATCTACACCCTGGCAGGATAAACACCCAGGCAGTGGGTTTCCTTCCCTGAAGGATTTTACAGCATCATATCCCTCCATAATTTCCTCCTTGTTTAATAGGAATGCCTTTAAGTTTGTTTTGAAGATATGCAGTGCTGTTAATTGCTGTTCTAACATGTCTCTAATAATCCATCCTTTCTAATTATTCATTGCTCACTGCTTCTTAAGTGCCTAAATACATTCACAAATTCTAATCTGTTCTCTGCACAATCAGAGATTCCTACTCACCAAACCACAGCGCAGCACATTTAATACAACCTGAGCTTGTTTTGCTGCACTCTTAATTGCTCTCCTTGCTAACTGTGCTCCCTTCAGTCCTGATCAAATTGCAGGCTGACTTGGCAAAAACAGAAGAAAAAGCCAGACAGGCAGCAGACACCGCTGCAGTGACATCACTGACAGAGTGAGTGTAAAACCAGTAAAAACAGTTTTTCAAATGCTGAGTCTGCCAAGCAGAACAGCAAAGGTGGAGTGAGAGACCAAGAGCATCCTACCTCGTAGTGGGCCACGCGCTGGGACTCGGAGATCAGCTGAGCACTGCACACCTTGCAGTAACTTTCAGTGAACAATTCTTGGTCGATGTCAGAGGATTTCATCTGTGCATGACAGAGAGAAGAGACAAGAAGCAGAATCAGTTACAGGAAACAGGCAGATGTGTCTGACAAGGCTCCTGTAGAGCCAAGGGCAAGGCAACACTTGAGCCAAGCAGTTCTTGTCAGCATGAGGGAGTGGAAGCAATGTTATGCAGGTGTAAATGTGACACACAGACAGTCTCCCCACATCCCCAATCACTCCCATTCAGAGTCCCCAGGTTTATGCACCAACAGCCTGTGTCAAGTGCTCATTCCTCACTCTGGGCAGCTGTCCCAGCGTGGTCCCTTCACTGCTGCAGCAGGAGCAGTGGGACACGAGGGCCAGGTGTGCCCAAGAATCTGAATGCCACACACAGAGCACAGGTTCCACAGCTTGGCTGTCCTGCCCTGACATCCACAGCTGAGCTACTTGGGAATGGCTGCTCTTCATCACCTTCCCTACCTAGGAACACCACGCACAGAACCAGCTCTGACAGAGATCGCTCATGGCTCAAAACACGCTGGACCATTTGTTATACAACAATAAAAGAGCTTATAAAGACTTTTATAGAGAGGGCAAACAGCATCACAACCTGGAGGAAGGTGGTTTTAACTGGAAGAGCACTCTGTTGTACTTCTCAATTTAGATGTGGAAGAGAATTGTTTCGATGATTTACTGGGCTGTGCCGTTCTCCAGCAGCTGTTTAAATATTTATGTGTTCCCCAGAACTTTCTACGAGGACATTTGCACCTTTAAAACCAGCTTGCTGAGTGCTCTGATTCACAGGAACACATTGCTCCTCTGTTCATAGCCTCCTCCTTGTGCCACTGCAGGTATACAGATCTGAAGTCACAATCAAGGGGTGTATCAGGAAGGTTCAGGCTTAAAACAGACTGAGCCCAAGCAGAGCCAGAAAGCAACAGAAGCAGCTACACAGAGAGAATATTTAAAACCACCCTCTATGCAAAGTAAGAGGGAAAAGAGAGGCTGGTGCCTTCTCATTAATGCCAAGATAAAATCTATTAATTCACAATCATAACAAAGCTGAGTATAATGAAGACTGATAACACAGGTTTTATAGAGCTTATTCCACTGACTGGGAAGAAAAATCACATGGAAATGAAGAGGCGATGAGATCTCATTAGCAGACAAAGTCAGGTGCAGAAGGGCCGGTCGCTCCAGGCTGTGCAGCGGAGCTGGAGGTGGCTTTTCCAAGCCCCCAGTGTCCTGCCATCCCACGGTTATTGGGGTCCCTGCATATTTTATGAAAACAAGCAGATGAGCTGACACCAGAGAGTGCCAGCCTGGAGAGACCAGCCCGCCCTGAGTTCCAGGAAAAGGTTTGCTCAGGTGTTCTGGTTTACCAGACAAAAACACTCATCTCAGAGCTCCTCTGCTGCTGTGCTTGCTCTTTGTTTGATTCTGCAAAGACATTTGCTTGTTTTCTCTTGCTATCTGCCTAGTTTTAATCCTCATTTACTCTGTCCAGAGAGATGTTGTATTGAGAAACTTTCAAAGACACCAAAAGACCCTTTTAGGAATACAAGAAGTGTTGCAAAATTGCATCAAAGGCAATACAAAGTGGGAGGAAGAAATCTCACTTAACTCCAACGGATCAACACAAAGCAAACCGAAGAATCTCATTAAACCTCAATCCAGCAACCAAGCCAGAGACAGGTAACACCACCTTCATTTGCATGCAGCCTGCAATGCTAGTACAAACCCTCATTGCAAAAATCAGAGTAAATCAAAAGCTTCTCAGCGTTAGTTCAGCATTCTGTGCTCTGATAACAGAACCAAAGTCTATTTTTCTCAAATGGAATCATCTGTCCTCCTTTATAGCAGCAGGGGCTGAGCAGGCTTATCCAGAACTGGATCTCATACATTTTCTCTCAGCAGCAAGTTCTGATACAGGTGTGGGATGTGTTCCCCTCGCTATCACAGGTTCAGCACCAGGAGAACACAGTGGTTCTGCTGATGATGTGACTGCTGTGCACCACGACTCACGTGTAAATATTTGAGTTACCTAATAAAAGTCTCTCTGGAGGGAGACCATCACATAACCCAGAGCACAGTCACATGTGACAGAAGCTCCCACTCTCCTGCCCTGCTCCCAAATCCTGGTGTACCTTCCCCACCCTGGCATGGCTTGAGCACCTCAGTGAGGCACAGCTCCCGGCTGCCTCACCCCTCTCTCTGCAGAGCACAGCCTGGCACCACCTTGTTGCCACGTTCTCTTCACAGGGAAGAGCAAGGCACAATTCTTCCCAATAATATTTCTGGGTTTCGCATTCTCTAAACATCAGAGAAAGGGAAAACACAATTCTTATCACTTACTGTACCTGTGCTGTGCCAAAGTAAAATGGAATATAGAGATTGTTTATCCAAAGTGAGGATGTTTTGTTTCCTTGGCCTATCAGGGCCAATAAAGTGTGTGTGTGCTGGACTGTCACAGCACAGTCACGAGAAAATCAGAGAAATGAGTGCAGCCCTGTGCAGTTGTGAGCAAACTGAATGTGTGGCAGGTTCAGTTTAGATCCAATGTATATAGTGTAGTATAATAAAGTAAATTCATTAACCTTCTGATGATAGAGTCAGATACATCATTCTCTCTGCCCTCGTTGGAGTCGCCTTTGATTTACAATTCTGCCTTGCTTTGGCCTCCCCAAGCAGCTCCTGGGATCCCAGGGCTGTCTCCAAAGTGCCACACTCCCATGGAACCACTGCTCGAAGGATGGGGGGACCCTTCTCTGCCAGGGCAGGCCAGGACCAGCTCTCTTTGCTTGGATGCACAGGTGAGCAGCAGCAGCTCCTGCTCACCCAAAAACTCCCTGTGCCCCCAGGAAGCACAGCAAGCCCAGGACTGCCAAAGCCTCCAGGATGGCAGGGTCCCCTTGGCCAGGCACAGAAATGTCACTGGGTGTCCTCACACCTGGGATTCTGGCAGAGGGTTTCACTGTTGCTTTTTCCAGGCATTGCTTTTTTATGGTGATGAAAAGTACAGCAAGGCAGAGCAGAGAGGGATGGGGATTAGGAAGAACAAAAGAACAAATGGAAGCAATACCTCCTTCATGCTTTTGCATGAATACATTAGGCTAAACTGCTATGAGGATTCAAGCATACGTAAGCTTGGCTACTTAAAATAATTAGAAAGCTCTGGTAACAATAACTGCTCTAGACAAAATTAAATTTTAACAAAAAATAATGGATTCACCTTAGCAAGGAAGATTTCCACACAAGCAATCCACTACCAGCACCCATTAATAGCAATCACCCTTGCAAAGTTGCCACTGAAACCAAGACAGCTTCAGAACAAGTTCAAATTCAAGCACCAGTCACTGACTTGAGAAAACAGACAATTACCTCTCCCACAGAAATGCAACAGAGGAGCAAAAGTCTCTTCCCCTCCTCAGCAGCCACCAAAGAATGCCCAGCTAACACAGTGAAATGAATGCATGAGCTGCATGGACATGCAGTGAGATGAATCCCCCTCTCCACCACAAAGGTTTTAAACTGCCACCGTGCCCAGGGTGGCAGCAGCTGGTCCTGCACAGACCCCAGGGCTGGAATTTCCCCGGGGATCTGCCCAGGAACCCTGTTACGTGCAAGAACCAAACGTCTGCTGCCTGCAAAGGGTGGTGCAGAGATGCCACAGCAAGGCTGGGTGAAGGCTTCTCTGCAGAGCTGCAAGGGCTCCCTTCTGCAGCAAGAGAAATGAAACCCTGAAAAAGAACACAGCTTTGTGCTGTGGGTGCCCAGCCTAAAACCAGCACTTCCCCCTCTCCAGAAAAGCTCCCTTTGCCATTTCTGTCTCGTCTCAGATGCACTTGTCATTACCCTGCTGTGGGTTAATCCGAGCTGTGATTTATTAACTTCTTCTGCCTGCAAGTGTGATAAAGGGAGTTCATAAGCAATTAATATTTATGTATTTCTAATCACTTAATACCACTGTGACTCTCTCTCTCTGCCCACACATGCCTAACTACTCCAGGACTGACCAGCCCTCAGCTGATCTCACCTCACAGCCCATCTGTCAAAATGCAGCAGGGAAGGGAGGAGTTTCCCTGCCACGAGCATGTCCTCGGCTCTGAGGGACATTCAAGGGCAGCCACAGGTGCTGAGCAGGGTGGGACATGTCCCTGAACGCTCCCAGAGACTTTTCTTGCTGAGAATTGAAGAACTGACGTGGGGTTCAGGGACACAAGCTGTCATGCTGAGCAGAAGCTCTCAGTGTGCACAGTGAGGTGTAAATATCTGAAACTCCTGGTGTCCTCCTCCTCAGGTGGGGACATGAGGGGCCTCTCCCAAAAATGACAATCACCTCGTGCCCTTCAGTGGGGTTTGTTACGGCCTCCTGTGCCACACTCCAGTGCCAAGTCCCCTCCCTGCTCCAGATCCAGCACATGTCAGCTCAGCACCTCCAGGAATGGCTCAGCGTGTCACAGGAGACAGGTCTGCAGTGCCTTGTGCCATATGGTTGCAATTCTTCTCAGCAGTTTCAGTGGCTGTAACAGCTCAATGAAAAATCAATGCCATCAGACCGACGCCAGGTTTTGGCGATGTCCAGAAAGGTGCTAACTAAGCTGCACTAAATTTTAGAGGATGGCAACCCCCAACTGACATCAGAGACTTATGCAAAGCCAAATTCCTTTCTAAGGGAGTGCTTTGCACCAGCTGAATCCCTCCAGGTGGGCTCACGTGCTGTGTCCCTGTCACACAGGAGAGTGGTGGAAGTGCCCTGGAATTCCTGCACACATTCATTTTTTCTATTGTCCAATCGAGGACAAGGAGTGTCATAGGAAACACAGGGTGCAGCAACTTGGTTTTTTTCAGTCAAGAGGAGAGAAGAAAAATGTGGTCTCTTATCTGATTTACTCTTGAAGGCCTACAATCACTTTTTCCAAAATTAACAGTCTCCAAAATCTCCACACCAGAGCACAAGAGAAGCAGCAACTGAGCATGTGCAAGAATGCCAAATGAAAACAACAAGCCAAAAATTAAATGTCCTGATTTTCATGTTATG